CAAAGGACCTGGGCAGATGCTTTTCTAAGGAGGAGATACAGAGGGCCCAGAGGCATTTGAAAGGATGCTCTGCATCACTAGCCATTAGAGAAATGCAGATCAAAACCACCATGAGGTACCACCTCACACCGGTCAGAATGGCCATCATAAACAGATCCACAAACAACAGGTGCTGGCGAGGCTGTGGAGAAAAGGGAACTCTAGTCCACTGTTGGTGGGAATGCAGACTGGTGCAGCCACTATGGAAAGCAGTGTGGAATTTCCTCAGAAAGCTGAAAATGGAACTGCCTTTTGATCCAGCGATTCCCCTGCTGGGACTATACCCTGAGAACACCAAAACGCCAATACAAAAGAACCTATGCACCCCAATGTTCATAGCAGCACAATTTACAATAGCCAAGTGTTGGAAGCAACCTAAATGCCCATCAGTAGATGACTGGATCAAAAAATCATGGTACATATACACAATGGAATACTACGCAGCAGAAAGAAAAAAAGAAGTACTAAACTTCGCAACAGCATGGATGGAACTGGAGAGCATCATGCTAAGCGAAATAAGCCAGGGGGCGAAAGACAAATACCATATGATCTCACCTATAAGTGGAACCTAACCAACAATGCAAAGAAGCAAGGCAAATATGACCAGCAACACTGAAAGGAAAAGAAATCAACAGAGACAAGAGGGAAGGGGGGGCAGGGAAAGGGAAGGGAAGGGGAAAGTCAAGGAACATATAGCAAGGACTCATGGACAAAACCAAAGGGGAAGAGCTGAGGGAGGGAAGGTGGGAGGGGGCAAGGGAAAGAGGCGGGGGAAGGCAGAGACAAATGTATTTAAAAAGTAAATAAATTAAAAAAAAAAAATTTTTACTGAGTTTTATGAAAATGAAGACATTAATAAATGGAAACCGCATGAGACTTCTTTTGCTGTGTAACAAAGCACCACAAAGTTAGCTGCTTAAAATGACATCCATTGACTAGCTCAGTGACCTTTGTAGGTCAGAAGTCCAGATATGACATGGCTGGATTTTCAACTCAGGATCTCACAAGGCCAAAATCAAGGTATAAAAAGGCTGTATTTTCATCTGGATCTCAGAGTCCTCTTCCAGGCTCATTTAGGTTAATGACAAAATTTAGTTCTTTCCTGGCTATTTGTCAGGGGGTACTGCCTACTCTAAGAGGCCACTCCCTGGTCCTTGTAATGTGGCCCCTGTCCATTTTCAAAGCGAGCAATACAGAATCTCTCTCATATGGAATACTTCTCCCGCCACTGCCCTGAACTTTAAATCTCTCTTTCAGGAAAGGCCCAAGCCCTATTAAGGGCTCACTAGATTAGGTCCAGCCCACCTGGAAAATCTCCCTTTTGATTAACTCGAAAGTCAACTGGTTAGTAACCTAATCACAGAAGAGATACTGCCTAACATTCCCTGGTCCTGCTCACACACAAGGCTCTCTGCCTAACACACGTGGGAGCCCTAATAACCCTAAATTAGTTCATAAGGACAATGTAAATTTTATAACAATCCTACCAGAATGTTTATAGATAACTTTAAAAGACACTGACTTTCAAATTTAAAAAACATAGAAGTCAGAAACATGCCATCAATTTTTAAAAATTAATGGATTTAATAGATCAGATACAAATTTATGTTTGTATTGATGTGAAATTTTCCATTTCAAAGTCATTGTAACTGAGAGGGCTGCACTAAAACAGGAATAAGGGGAACAGGTCATTGGAACAACAAGAAAAAAAACAATGGAAAGACGAGAGAGATCAAAAATAGATCCAAATATTTATAAATGGTTGCATATGATTTAGGACTTCTGTCCAATCCATAAGAATGGATTATTTATTAAATGAGATTGGTGAAAGTGCTTAGTATCTGTTTAAGAATATGCCTACTTTACATTACACACTAAAATAAAGTCTATTTAGATTTTAAATATAATCCAGAAAATCATACTATAAAAATACAAGAAGGAAAATAGGTGAATATCTCATTTCTGAGTGAAGAAGAGAAAAAAAAATACAGAAAAGTACATATGTATGATGACAAATACAGATCTTTTTGGACCCCAAATGACCACTTAGCAGGCAAGCAACAAAAGGTTGCAAGTTTTATGAGATGCCTTAATTGTTCTTTAAAGAAAAATAATTAACAAAAATGGACAATTTATCTTAAGGAAAAACTAAAATTGCCAGCAAGCTTTTGAAAAATGTTCAGTCTAACTATTAATCAATCTAATGTAGTTAGTTAAGTAACAATGAACCATTTCTTTTTTTTTTTTTTTTTTGCCTTGCAAAAATGAAATGAATTTAAAATATGTAGGTAAATACATCCTCCTTACTAACTACCAATGAACATAACCTTACTCACTACCCATGAACATAAAAGCTGGTGATGTTTGTGAAAAGCAATTTGGTATTGCTAAAGACTTTTTAAAAATGTGTATACTTAATGTCTTCAAAATTCTACTTATGATTATTGGTAGCTTGTTATGTTTATACAGTCAGCAAACATTTATATAGTGCACTACCTCCCAGGCTCTGTTTCAAGAACTTGGCAAATATTGACCATTTAACCTCATGAGACAGGTATTATCATTTTCCCCATATTACAAATGAGGGAAGTAAGACACAGCCTGGTTAAATAACTCACTCAGTGTTGTCACACAGCCACTGAGGGGGAGAGCCGGCATTTGTGAACCCTGCTCCACAGACCAAGCTTCTCAACTCTGTGCTATACGGCCTCTCGTACAATCTATGAAATTCAAAATGAGTATTCCCAAAAGTTGTCACACAAGAATTATCCCATCAGCACTTATCTTTATAAGGCCCTCTTCACAATGTTCTCCTTCAGCTAAAACTAAACTTTCTGCTCTCTCACAGGAAAACTTCTTGAAAAAAGTTGTTCACATATGTTGTTTCCTCTTCTTCACCTCCCATTTCTGACTGGGCTCAATCCGACCTGGCTTTCACACCCACTACTTTACCAAAAACATCTTCTTCAAACTCACCAGTAAACTCCTACTGCAAAATCCACTAGGCACTTTTAGGTCTCACCTTATATGACATCTAGACAACATTCAACAAAGTCAACCCCTCCATTCTTCTTGCTGTACTTTCCTTTTGGCTTTTCCCTTCCCTTTCAATTTGTTCTCATTTCCTTCCTCTTATTCGAGCAATTTCCTTATCACTTTGCTTGCTATGCCTTCTTTACCCCACTTTTCTCCCAACACTCTCTCCTTTGATGATTTTAGCCTTTCTCTTGCTTCAAATTTCATTTATGTGTTAACCACTCCCAAATTTGTTCTACATCCCAAACCTTTTCTCTGAGCTCCAGACTCACTAGTCCAACTAAGTATTTGGCAACTGTAATGATTAGTATCATGTGTCAATGTGACTGAGCTAAAGGAAGCCCAGATGGCTGATAAAACATTATTTCTGCATGTGTCTATGACGGCGTTTCTGGAATAGCTTAGCATTTGAACTGGTGAACTGAATAAAGCAGATAGCCCTCCCCAATGTGGGTGGACAGTATCCAATCCAGTGAGGGCTCAAAAAGAATAAAAAGATGGAGGAAAGGCAAACTCTCTCTACACTTGAGCTGAGATACCCACCTTCTCCTAACCTCAGATATTGGAGCTTATGATTCTCTGGCATTCAGAGTCAGACCATGATTTACACAAACAGCCCCCCAATTCTCAAGCCTCTGAACCTAGACTGAAGTATATCACTGGCTTTCCTGTTCTCAGGCTTGCAGATGGCAGATCGAGGGACATCAGGGCTTCCATAACCCAATGAGCTAATTCCTATAATAAATCTCCTCTTTATATCTACATATCTATATCTATGTCTACATCTTTATCTATATCAATCTCCTATTGATTCTGTTTCTCTGGAAAACCTTGACTAACATAGCATTTCTACCTGGATGTGTCACAAGCCTATCAAAGCTAAATTGTCAAAAACAAAAGTCCTGAATCCAACCCCAACCCAAATATTTCTAGCCAGTCCCCTTCTAAATCTTTTTCCCCCATTACTGACTATATCACAGTAAATGGCACAGACATCTACCCTACTGTTCAAGGCTTGACGTTAAATGATGCAGGAGGTCCAAGCCAGGGACCTCCACTGGTGTTTGTGATATTCTGAAAAAACCACCCAGAGGACCAACAGATGTGGAAATGCTGGGGACATGCTCTTTCCCACTCCCGTTACAGGGGAGTGCACCAATGGCATCAGATGGCTGAGAGAAAAGGCCACACCCTGCCTCCAGCCTCAGTGCTACTTACAGGGTTAGGAAGAGAGTAGTGTGTGAAAATTCTACACTTTCGTAGTAAACACGGGAGCCTTGACGCACAGGGACATTGAGAGGGCTGGGACAGCCAGAGACACACTGTTCTCCTCGTTCCTTCCGGCTGCTGACCAGTCAGCCACCTGTTCTCTGAGGTGGTGGAGGGGCCGTGTCCTGAGTTACTCCACAGTTGGCAATTCTCTACTCACTCCTTCCATTCAGCCACAATGTCCTAATCATTAACATCCTAAAAAAATGTTTAATCATTCACTTTGCTTCATCTTCACTGCCACTTCTCCAGCCCAAAGCATCCCATCTCTCCTAGGCCACTGGGATAACCTCCGAGATAGTTCCCCTTCTGCCGTGCTTGGCCCTACAATACAGCCCCCACGGACCGAGCAGTCAGAGAATATCAGTCATCTGCTTAAAACACATCAGTGGCTTCTTGTCCTCAAAATACAACACAGACTTTTTAATCCCAGGCCCTGCAGAATCCCGTTCTTTCCTGCTTCAACAATCTCATCCTCGTGCCTACTCCCTCTCTTTCATGACCTTCCTCGGACATAATGAACTGTTTCCGACTTTCACATGCTATTTCATTCACAGGATTCTCTCCTGGCTCTTTTCATTCTTAACCTCTCAATTTATATGTTATTCCTCAGCACAAGCCTCCCTAACCCTAACCCCATCTAAATAAATCAAAAGCAAAAACCTCTCGCTTTAACCTTAGAGGCGATGTTGAAGAAACGTGCACAGGGGCCCCAGCCACCTCCGACCCCGGAAGTGCCGGATTTCGCCCCCACACAGAAGCCCTGCAGGCCACGGAGCCGGCGGCGAGGAGGGAGCGAGTCACCTCGCAAGATCAAGCCAGCGTCAGTTTGGCCGAAGCCTCTTCAGAGGAGGTGCGGGGAGCTGAGGTGGGGGAGGGGGCGTCGGAGGTAGTGGTGGGGCGCGGAGGAGGGAGCGGGAGCGGGCGAGAGCCAGGAGGTCCGGCCGCTGTACGCAGCGGGAGCGGAGCAACCACGCCGGCTGCGGCGCCGCGGAGCTGGGGCAGGCGACTTGGGAGAATCGGCGACTGCGCCGCTCCTAGGCTGGTCCCGGAGGGCGCAGGGCTGTCTGTCGGTCACGGAGAGATCGCCGCTGCGGAGCGGCGTGTCCGCAGCAGCCCCGTGGTTCAACAGGAGAACCCATGTGCGATTTGCAAATGTTGCAAATCAAGCATACAGAAAATCAGGGAAGAGAGGGGCTGAATTCCCAACTTAGGGTTGTGGTTGAATCGGAACTGGGGAAGTCAACGTTAATCAACTCATTATTCCTCACAGATTTGTGTTTTCCAGAGTATCCAGGCCCTCCCCATAGAATAAAAGACTGTAGGTGGAACAATCCCAAGTTTTAATCAAAGAAGGTGGGGTTCGCACAACAGTTGATACCCCAGGATCTGGAGGTGCAGTGGATAATAGTAGTTGCTGTCAGCCTGTTATCGACTACATTAGTAGTCAATTAGAGGACAACCTAAATGCAGACGAGCGAGTGAACAGACATCAGATGCCCAATAACAGGGTGCAGTGTTGTTTATACTTCATTGCTCCTTCAGGGCATGGACTTAAACCATTAGATACTGAGTTTATGAAGCGCTTGCATGGAAAAGTGAACAGTATCCCACTTATTGCCAAGGCAGACACACTCACACTGAAGGAGTGCCAGCAGTTTAAAAAACAGATAATGCAAGAAATCCAAGAACATAAAATTAAAATATATGAATTTCCAGAGATAGACGATGAAGAAGAAAATAAGCTTGTCAAAAAGATAACAGACCGTTTACCTCTTGCTGTGGTGGGTAGTAATACTATCATTGAAGTTAATAACGAAAGGGTCAGAGGAAGGCAGTATCCTTGGAGTGTTGCTAAAGTTGAAAATGGTGAACATTGTGATTTCACAGTTCTAAGAAATAGGTTGATTACCTTTCCTACATTTTCTTTTTTTATTATTATTAAACAGATGTATTCAATTTAATGCAAGAAAACATTTTACTATTGTACAATCATATTCTGGTGATTTGACTGTGACTGTTTACAAGATATTCCAAAAGAAAAGAACTCTGAAAGCTTTTCACTGAGGATAAATTGCCATAATATGATGCAAACTATGCTTCTCTATGACAATTATAATATAAAAGTTCCATCCAATGCAGCATATACAATAATGTAATTTAATCTAACATAGTTCACCTTATTTATTTTGACACTTCCATTGTTTGAAAATACACAAGAAAAAAAAAAAAACTATGTGCTTACAATGAACCTAGAGCTTTTTTTAACAGCTTTTTTTGTTTTTTGTTTGTTTGTTTTGGATTCTTTAAATATACGTTATTCTCATTTAGTGCCTCCTTTAGCCAGAATCTCATTACTGCTCATTTTTGTAATAACATTTAATTTAGGTATTTTCCATATGTTGTCCCTGCTAAAGTAGAATATAACATCTTTCATATGGTAGGAACCAACAAGGAAACTTTCCTTTAATTCCTTTTTTACACTTGATAGTAGGTAGCAGAGGGAAAATGCATTTATAGGTCATTTCTAGGTAAAATTGTGGAGCTAATGACCAACGTATTTTTACCTACGCAGTCTCTTTATTTTACTGGAAATGGGAATCATGGCCTCTTGAAAAGAGGAAAAGTCACCAAAAGCCACCATTCTGCATTTAGCTATATTCATAGATTGTATTTATGTATTTTTGTTTATATTGTAAAAAAGTCACATAACAGACCATGTTGTGATGTAAAAAGAAATCTCTACATTATTATTTGTCTTCACAGCATTCCTCAGTTTGTAATTACCTATTGCAATAATCTTTAGATGTGTGTGTAATAAAGAGACTGACACCTTTCTTTTTATTGCAATATAATTGATATGTAATGAACATTGTGTACATTTAAGATGTACAATATGTTGGTTTGAAATGTTTATGTATTGCTAATGATTCCCACCATACTGTTAGCTAATACCTTTATCATCTCATACAATTATCATTTCTTTTCTGTGGTGAGAACAATTAAGATCTAGTTTCTTAGCAACTTTGAAGTCTATAATACAATATAGCTGACTATAATCACTATACCATGTGTTAGATCTCCAGAACTTGTTTATCAACTAGTTGCAAGTTTGTACTCTTAAAAAATATCCACCTAATTTTCTCACCCCCCAGGCCCTGGTAACTACCTTTTATTCTCTGTTTTTATGGGTTTGATTTTTTTAGATTCCACATACATATGATAGCATACAGTATTTGTCTTTTTTATTTTTTTATTGTTGACACTATTACAGATGCCCTTCATTTCCTCTTTTCCCCCCTTCCAGTTACCCTCCACCCAGCCTTCACCACATTATTGTCTATGCCTATGGGCTATAAATATTTACATATATGATATAGTATTTGTCTTCCTCTGTCCAACACACCTCACTTAGGATAATATTCTCATGGTTCATCCATGTTGTCACAAATGGCAAGATTTCCGTTTTTATCATAGCTGAATAATTTTCATTTTATGCATTTATGTATATGTATACCACTTTGATAGTTCCTGCGATATCAATATCACATTGACCTTAATTTGCTTCCAGTTCTACTTTTGTTGCCCACACTAAATGGTGACCTTGCCCCCAGATTCAGCCTTACCCCGCCTCAGTCCAAAGTTGACTCATACCAGCCTTGACAAAGCTTTGTGACCTCACTGGCTGTCTGAGAAGAACGGACAAAGGGAAATAAACGATGTCAAACAAAATTTAGTGTATTAGACTCTTCTGTTCTTCTGGAAGTGGGGCAGAGAGGGGATCACAAGCTGAAACAGCCAAATGAGCAGATTTGCCACATCCTATACTGAAAAAAAATATATTTATATTAGAGAATCTAAAATACACCTTTTGTTTTAGTAACACCATACATCTTTCAAACATATTCTTAAACATTAGTGCTCTCTTTTACCACCACATGGTTAAGCAACAACAGCAAATTGCAGCCGATGCTCACAGTATTCGTTTTTGCAAAATATCTTTGCTAAGTGCTCCAAATTCCTACTGCACCGGGTGAGCACAGTTTTGGTCAACAACATTTCCAAACTGTGCTGTATGATAAGTCCCAAATAAGCACCATTTCTGCAGGGGATAATGCTTGCTCAACCCCATTAACAGTAATAGTATGAACAACCATAAGCCATTAATTTTGATGAGATTAGGTTCATATCACCTCAAAGATTCAACAGAAGCCACAGGAGACATTGACGTATTCCCACTTTGGTGCCTGTGATGAATAAAAATGTGAAAGTAGTTACAGTCCACCTGACAGCCAGGCACCACAGGCCCAAGGAAAAGTTCACCCTGTCAGCAACTGCAAGAGAAAAGTGTCAAGGAATTATTGCATTAACCCTCTAAGAGTCTAATAGCCAAAAGGTGGGGGTAAAAGGCACTGCACACACCAGGCGGAAATTACCCTGGAGTCCTGAAAAGGGTTCTTTTAGGGTGAGTAATTTTATTTCTTAAAAATTCAGCAATACGGAACAAATTATTTGCTCAAGACTCTGCAGTAATCCTGGGAAAATATATCAGGATTCCAGGGCTCACTTCACCACCTCAAGAACAGCTCTTTTCAAAATGAAGTGAAGAGAGAAGACTTAAATGTTGTTCTCATAACTCATGAGCACATTTCCAACAGGCAATTTTGTTTTCAACTTTCATTACTCATTAATATTCAATTTAAGCTCCATCTTCTTTAGATGTGTGTGTGACATTTGTGAGCATCTAGTTTAATGTTGAGTGTCTGCACCAGCTTACTTGAGTATGAAACAGAGTTTCTGACCTGCCAAAAAATGAGATTCACTACTCCCCTCCCAAAGCAGTGGGGGAAGGGAGAAAGTAATGATTTTGCTTCTCTGACTTGCAAATATCTTATAAGAGGAAAATCATAATTCATAGTCCCATATGTACAAACATTTCCAATGTGTTTCATTTTGGAGATATAAGCAATGAATTTTCTGCTAAATAAAGCAGATCCAGTCACTATACTAATAAAACAAAATGCATTTAGATTCCGAATATAAAATGTAATCTCTGGTGCAACTAATTCCAAATAAACATTAAAAAAAAACATATGTAAGAGCCTCATTAGAAAATGGCTTACAATTACTAATTATTGTACTATTTTGGGTCCCTTTTTTTTTTTTTGTAAGTTATGTTCAGGTAACTACTGTAAATATTAGGTACTGAGATGAATCAATAAACATTATCCTCAATTTTTGTCTCCAACATTAGAGATACAGTTTCACTGTTTTTCATGTTACTGGTATGATGAGCTGAGTAACAACCCCTAATAATATCAGGTCCCAATTCCTGGTACTTGTAAATGTTACCTTCTATTTCAAAAGTGATGCTGCACTTGTAATTAAGTTAAAGATCCTGATGTGGAGATTATCCTGGATCATCCAGGTGGACTCTAAATGTTAGAAGAAAGAAGCAAAGGGAGATTTGACTAAACAGACAAAAGAGGAGAAAGTGATATAACAAAGAAGCAGAAAGAGACCTGAGATGCTACACTGCTGGCTTTAAAAATGGAGAAAAAGTCCATCAGTCAAAGAACATGAAGAATTCAACTCTAAAAACTGAGACAGGCAAAAAGAATAGATTCTTTGCTTGAGTCTCCCAAGAAAGCTCAGGCCCCTCCACACTTTGGAGGCTAATTTCACTCTGACTTACAGAACTGTAAGAGAATAAGTTGTTATTACAATCCACTAAATTTAAGGTGATTTCTTGCAACAGCCATAGGAAATTAATACAGTTTATTATCAAATTTTCTGTTTTTATACTGCTGGTGGAATATATGGTTTCACTTGTCTATTCGCGCCTTTACCTTTACGGGTATTAGTACCAAAAATCTTGGTTTCATGGACATTTGGCTATATGGTAATAGGGATAAATCTCTAACCTACTTGTCAGATATTTCACAATAAAAGGATTTTTTAACTTTATTAAATTAAATGGAAAATTAAATTGAATTTAAGAAGATAAATAAGCAAGACATATAAGGAAAAAGAAAAAAGAGATACAGGGAGAATGAAGAAAAGGAGGAAGAGTAGGAAAAAACGGGGGATTGAGAGAGCCAGGTGGAATGACAGACACTTGTGCTGTTTGCTAGGAAACCAGTTCATCCCCTCAGGGCACAGGAAAGCACTTCCCCGCCTCTTAGATTTAGATTTGAATAGTCAAGCAATGGTTTGCAAGCAAAAGGAGACTTGCATCACTTCTACATCAGAGCTTTTAATTTCCTGTGAAATACCCCTCCGAGTCCCCTTCAAATTACTGCAGTGACCAGGTGGTGGAGGCTCCAACAACCAGGGTAGAGTTTTCACTGAGAACAATGTAACATGCACTCCTTCTCCATCAAAAACCTGGGTGTTTTTGGAAATAAAAATTGTATTTGTTTTTTTATTTGTTTTTTACAAGTCTACATCATCTGTGTTTTGCATTGTGTGTTCACTGCCCAAAGTCTCCTTCTGTCATCATATATATTTTATTGTATTTTTTCCATTACCATTTAGTCCCCTTATACTCCTTCTACCCCCCACTCCTCAATTACCGTACTGTTGTCCATGTCCATGAGCCCGTTTTCCTTTTTCCCCGATCCTGCCAACCCCTACCCCCCGCCCCGTTAGCTGTCATCCTGCTCTCTATGAGTCTGCCTTTATTTTGCTTATTAGTTCAGTGTGTTTACTAGACTCCACATGTGAGTGAAATCACATGGTATTTGTCTTTCTCCTTCTGGCTTATGTCACTCAGCATAATGTTTTCCAGGTCCTTTCATACTGTTGCACAGGGTAAAATTTTCTTCTTTTTTATGGCTGAGTAGTATTCCATTGTGTAAATGTCCCATAGTTGTTTTACCCACTTATCTACTGATGGACATTTGGGCTGCTTCCATATCTTGGTGATTGTAAATAACACTGCAATGAACATAGGTGTGAATAT